CCTATGCGTGTCTTCCATTTGGCTGTTCCTGAGTTCTACCTTTTATAATAAACCAGTCAATGTAAATAAACAGCTTTTCTGAATTCTGGGAGCTATTCTAGCAAATTATTAAATCCAAAGAGGACTTGTGGGAACCCTTGACATTATAGCCAGTTGGTCATAAGTCCAGATGACCTAGACTTGTGACTGGCATTTAAAATGAGGACAGTTTTTGGGGGGTTAAACTTCAGGGTCTGCACTGACTCTAAGTAGTTAGTGTCAGAATTGGATTAAATCATTGGACAACAGATTAGTATCTAGAGAACTGGAGAATTAGTTGGTGTGGGGAAAACTCTGACACATTTGATGTCAGAAGTGGTATGAGTAGAAACGAATCATAGAGGGCAACTTGGCAATATATATTAAATACCTTAAAAGAGTTTTTGCCTTTGACCTAATAGTTCTGTTCCTAGGATATCATCTGAAGGAGATAATCATCAAAATGCATGAAAATTTATGTAAAAAGATTTCCACTGCAGCATTATTTAAAATCAGAAATTATCTAAATGACCCACACTAGGAGTTTGGTGATATCAATTTTGGCTATCATGATTTAATGGAATGCTACACAGCCATCAAAAATGATATTTTAAAGACTACTCAACAATATGGAAAATTGAAATGATAGTGTGTTAAATGAAAAAAAATAAAGCTCTAGAGAGAGCTTGATCCCAATTTAATTAAGAATATACGTTAAAAAGTTTGGAATAAAGCACCCTAATATATATTAACAATGGTTATTGCTTGCCAGTGAATTATAGATTTTTTTCCTTTATACATTTTGGAGGCTTTTTTTGTAAAAAATATCAATTAATATATTGCACTCAGTCATGTCTGATTCTTTTGTGACCTCAAGGACTGTAGCCTGCCAAGCTCCTCTGTCCATGGAATTTTCCAGGCAAAAATATTGGAGTGGGTTGCCATTTCCTACTTCAGGGGATCTTCCCAAACCAGAGATCGAACCCGTGTCTCTTGTGTCTTCTGCATTGGCAGGTAGTTTCTTTACCACTCAGCCACCTGGGATGGCTACTAGATGGCTAGTAGATGGCTACTAGCACCTGGAATGCTACTAGAAAATGTAGCATTCCTCTGCAGGCCTGGCTCCAGTCTTCTGACGGGCTTATCCCCTTCCCAGAGGTCAAGTCCAGAGCCTCTCAAGACAAAGAAAACTACCGCCTTCCTTGATGTCCTCTTCCTTTCTCTTCATTCATCACCCTGTTTTTCCATACAGAGACCCTCTGACAATGCTCACTCTCATCCTTATTCAAATCATTTTAATGGCTCTCCTTTCATCCGAGCTGGGCAGTCAGTCCATCACTGAGTGCCCAGGGTCCAGATGGGCTTTCATTGTTGCTTTCAGTTCTCATTTGCTTTGTTTTTTTGCTGTTGGGGAATTAGCTTCAACGGACCTGGCATGCTAAAATGAATTCAGCTTAATCTATGGCGATGTAAACTTTGGGGACAAATAAACTCTGATCTAGCTACTAAACACTTAGAGATGCCCCTGGCTTTCTGCTGCCCTATGTTAGGAAAGAATGATTACTTTTCATGACCTATTCGGTCTGTAATTTCTCCACCTAGTAAATTACTAATAAGCTTTTCTTTCCAAATGCTAGCTAGGGAAGGAGTTGGCTTGATTTTTGAATTCAAGGTACCATTTGAGCCCTGAGGTAAGGAGAAAGGCCAGGAGCGTGGTGACACCAGGGATCCACAGAATGAACCTTGAACCACTGTCCCACCAGCCTCAAGCACTGAGCCTTTGAACTGTTTTTTTTTTTTTTCCAACACTGCCTCTTGCCTGCCCCCAGGGTTAACAGTGATTCCTGATGAGCCGGAGCCAGTGGGGGTGGCCAGGGAACCTACAGTAGCTGTGCTCAACCCTGAATTCTAACTGTAGATCCCAGATACTGTTATAGTCTCAGGGAGGAACAGTCAATAAATGAGCATTTATTGAAATGAATGCAATCACATCTCAAATAGCAAATAACTAGGAGTGAGGATCCTTCGTTGTTTAATCGCTAAGTTGTGTCCAACACTTTGCAACCCATGCGCTGTAGCCCGCCAGGCTTTTCTGTCCGTGGGATTTCCCAGACAAGAATACTGGAATAGGTTTGGCATTTCCTTCTCCAGGGGATCTTCCTGACCCAGGGATCTTCCCGACCCAGGAATCAAACCCTGGTCTCCTGCATTGCAGGTAGATTCCTTACCTTCCAAGCCACCAGGAGTCTCCTTTAACCGACTTTAAAATGTACCAAGAAAGTCAGGTTAAAAAGTGAATTAAAAAAAGCAGCAGCATAACCCCCATCTTGCTCCCATCTGTTGGCATCAGCACTATTCAATGCAGGACACTCCTCATTGCATCCCTGCCTCCTCCCAGCATGTTTCCCTCTTCCTTCAGAGCCCTACCACCTTGCTGTCTCAGCTCTCACCTCTGTCGTTCCCTAATTACTGAAACCAATTAGTTGTATTTGCAGATTGATTGATTGTGATTAAATTGGAACTCAATCGCATAAAGCCTGCACTGGGATTGAACTAGCGTTTTATATGCAATTATGGTCATTCTATTCCTATTTTCCATCTTCATCATATTTTTAGTATCACCATCTCCAAAGGCTAGTTGTGTATTCCTGTGTATTCACCAGACCTGACTGCTTGGGTATCTCTCAGGGCCCTGGACTTCAGGTGGCCAAATACCATGTTCCTCCCCTCTCTGAAACCCTGTGCTTCCTCCTGAATTCTCGCAGTTAATATCATCACTGCTCACTCCATCAGGCATACTAGAATCCTCAGCATCATCCTCAACTCATCCCTCTCGTAACCTGGGGACACTCAGGTGCCCTGACCTGACCACTCACAAGTCTCTCTGCCCCTCCCAGCAGCTCTAGGGGCATCTCTAGGTTCTGTATCCCCACTTGGTCTCTGCGACAGCCTCAGGTGAGGGCTCTGCTTCTCATTCCTTGTCACCATAGTCTTTGCCAGCCCTCGGTTTACAAACTAATCTGATCCTTTCTCTCTCTCTCTCTCTTTTTAAATTTAGAACTGCTGAGAACTCTCTGTGACCTACAGCAGGTGTCCACAAACTTTAAAAAGCCAAAGTCAACATTTAGGCTTTGTGAGCCAAACCTTCCCCATCCCAGTGACTTAGTTCTGTTTGTGTGGTCCCAAAGCAGTCGACCATGGACAGCTGTATGTCAGAAAATGGGCATGACTGTGTTCCAATAAAGCTTTATTGACAAACAGGGTGGTAGACCAGATTTGGCCACAGACAGATTTGCCAGCCCCTGGCCTACAAGGTAAAGCTTGGGTGGCTTCTAAGGCTCTTTCAGTCTTGTCTTGGCACATCTTGGCACACTTCTTCCCCTTTGTCTCTCAATGTTTCTATATCCACTGTGCAGCCAGGATGTTCGACATACCCATCTTGGTACATTTTCCCCACTCAGTCTCCTTTCCCTTCTCTCCATGGCCTTAAGATTAAAAAGATTTCACAGAGCTGTCTCTGTCCTAAGGAAGGACTTCCATGAGATTTATGTAGACTTGTATTATTGTGCTTGTCATTCTCTGTTTTGAATATCTGGTCACCCTCTGTCTCTCCAACTAGAATGTAAGCTTCTCAGAGCCTGGAAAGTTTATTTGGTTCCCTGTATATCTTAGGATTGCATCTGGCATATAATAATTATGCAGCAACTCTTCAGTGAATAAATGACTGTATTAATCATTTCTACATATGCATTTGTTGTTTTTCATCGAAAAGGGGGAAACTTTTCTAAATCTCTTTTGTCATTGGCTCAGCCCCTGTCCTATTATTTCTCCCAAATAAAGACCTCCAGACTTGTATCTTATATTTTCTGGTGCGTTTGTGTCAGTTCAGTCAGTTCAGTTCAGTCACTCAGTCATGTCCGACTCTTTGTGACCCCGTAGACTGCATCACACCAGGCCTCCCTGTCCATCACCAACTCCTGGAACTTGCCCAAACTCATGTCCATTGAGTCAGTGATGCCATCCAACCATCTCATCCTCTGTCATTCCCTTCTCCTCCTGCCTTCAATCTTTCCCAGCATCAGGGTCTTTTCCAATTAGTCAGCTATTTGCATCAAGTGGCCAAAGTATTGGAACTTCAGCCTCAGCATCAGTCCCTCCAATGAATATTCAGAATTGATTTCCTTTAGGAAAAGACTCCTGGTGGCTCAGATGGTAAAGCATCTGTCTACAATGAGGGAGACCTTGGTTCGATCCCTGGGTCGGGAAGATTCCCTGGAGAAGGAAATGGCAACCTACTCCAGTACTCTTACCTAGAAAATACCATGGGTGCAGGAGCCTGGTGCAGGCTACTGTCCATGGGGCTGCAAAGAGTCGGACACGACTGAGCGACTTCAAGTCCAGAGAGTCCAGTCTAGGATTGACTAGTTTGATCTCCTTGCAGTCCAAGGGACTCTCAAGAGTCTTCTCCAACACCACAGTTCAAAAGCGTAAGTTCTTCAATGCTCAGCCTTCTTTATGGTCCAGCTCTCACAGCCGTACATGACTACTGGGAAAACCATAGCTTTGACTATACGGATCTTTTCTTGGCAAAGTAATGTCTCTGCTTTTTAATACCCTGTCTAGAGGAAGGAAAGCTCCCATTATTACCATGAGGACTGTTTAACATGGATAGCCAAGCACCACATAGAAAACAATAAATCAACCTCACATAAATATTATGGGAGTGACTATCAAAAAGTAAAATAATNGTGGGATCTTAGTTCCCCAATCACAGATCAAACCTGCATCCCCTGCAGTGGAAGCTCGGAGTCCTAACCACTGAACTGCTGGGAAAGTCCCCTTGGGAGCAAACAGAGAAGGATGACTTTGTCCCACTGACCTGGGGCCAAAGAAAACAGAACTCTGAGCTGAGCTGTTTCTTCTCCATCCTGTCCTGGGCTGAAGCAGGGCCAGCCTGGATGCATACTGCAAACAGGAAAACCATGGGGATTTGGGGCCTCGAAGGAGCATGTTCCTTTAAGCAGGGCACCGAAGGGACCCCTGTCTGGGGTCTGAGTTACCAGATCCAACAGTCCAGAGGTGAGGCAGCTTAGGGCATAGCCCAGGCAGCCAGGTCAAGGTCGGGAGGCACACCCACCAAGGCCCTCATTTCCAGGTCGAGTTCTCAAACATCCCTAACCAAGCCCTCTGGAGTAGCTAATGTCAGGATGTAGGCTCTTTCACTGCTAAGATCTAGGGCATGCAGAGGGACCACAGGGGTGAGGCTAGGCGCTGTCAACAGAAGGGGATCATCCTTCAGTGTGACAGCCTCAGCCCAGGGTTGAGGATGGAGTCAGAGGGATAGGAAGAGGAGATGGTGCCTTGGGAAGGAAGTGGTCCAGAGAGCAGGGGCAGGGCTCAGCCTGCAGCTGGCCATCAGGCTGGCCCACCTGGGACCCCAGCAGGGACCCTGTCATCATCTGACATTTTCTACTGTTGCACGGTTTGTGTCAGACCTGTTGTAAAACCCCGTCACAGAGGCTGGAAGGAGACCCAGCCCAACCCAGTTTTCAGATGGGGACATTGAGGCTGAGGGACAGGCCTGCCCCGATCATGGGGACTGGATGGACTTCTTTGTGAGCTGATTCCCATCTCAGGAGACCCTCTGTCTGCATCCCCCTACCCTCAGTGTCTGGACTTGGGCCGAGTGAGGCATGACCTCTGCCCTGGTGTCCTTGAGTGCCGTGTGCCAGGATCTCAAGCTGAGTACTGGCTGTAAGCTGTTCTAGGTCCACCCGACATGTGCTTGGAAAACATGGCTGCTTTAGATAATCTTGGGCATGTTTCATTGATGAGAAAAGTCTAAATATGCAGACAAACCCCTTAATTCAGAATTTGGAAAGGGCTAAAATGTTTTCTGTATCATCAGTGGAAAAAAAGAGGGGTGTTTGAACAGCAGATTAATAGGGTATGAAAAAGAACACAGGCTTCCTATTCTTCTTTTAAATACTGTAACGATGTCCACAGATCCTTAGAAAGGGGCTCAAAGGACCTCACGGATTCTCTTGGCCAACCTGGCTCATTTTACACATGAACAAACCAAGGCCTCAGGGTTTGGCTGCAGACCTAATTCGCTAATACGCCTGGCCAGGAGCCCAAGGTCCTGACTCCCAGGCTAGTCTTCCTTCTGCTGGAGCACACATTTATCCATGGAACGCATCCAGCATGCTGAATTAGTATTGATAATGAATCTGCTGCTGATATCTGGTGCTTACTTGTTCAGAATCAGCATCCATTGAACAGCTAGCTGTCTAGTGCCTCCTTCAGCACATAGGTGGGAACATACAGCCTTGAATGAAATGTACAAGGCACTTGTAGCTCACAGAAGCCATGATTTCGGCACCTTGCTCTCTTTGTATTTCTAGGTGGTGTGGGCTAGATGTCATGAGGCAGGAGTAACTGTCCTGCTGGCCAGTCAGCAGTGAGGGAGGTAACTCGGCTGTGGTGAGTGAGGGCATTGCTGTGAAACACACGACCTCTGACCTGGCCTGGGAGGACTAATGTGATTTGGGCAGGTAAAGAGGATGGCAAGGTGTTTCAGATGGAAACATTGGCTGGGAGAGTGCAGAGGGCTGAAAAACAATTCCCAAAGGATTCAGATCCCCAAGGCTAGAAACTTATAAATGTTACTTGGGAAACCAGCTACTGGTTTCTACAAAGACCAGCTACTGGTCTTTGTAGCTGCCAGTAAATTAAGGATCTTGAGATGAGGAGTTTATCCTGGATTATATGGTGGTCTCTAAATGCAAGCACAAGTGTCCTTGTAAGAGGCAGGAAAAGGGAGATCACAGACAGATGAAGAGAAGGTAACCCCAGGGCAGAGACTGGAGCCTTGCGGCCACAAGCTAAGGAAAGTAGACTTGTAGGAAAAAATGGGAAAAGAATCTTACCTGGAGCCTCTGGGGGAGGGCAGTTCTGTCCTCATCTTGATTTTGGTCTGAGCATGCATATTAAATCACTCAGTCTTGTCTGACTCTTTGTACCCTTTGGACTGTAGCCTGCCAGGCTCCTCTGTCCATAGGATTCTCCAGGCAAGAATACTGGAATGGGTTGCCATGCCCTCCTCCAAGGGATCTTCCTGACCCAGGAATTGAACCTGTGTCTCTCTTACGTTTCCGGCTTTGGCAGGAGAGTTCTTTCCACCTGGTTTCAGATTTCTAGCCTCCATATTGTGAGAGAATAAATTTCTGTTGTTTTAAGCTACTACATTTGTGTGATTGATTAAAGCAACCACAGGAAATTAATGCAAAGAGGAAAGGAAAAGCCTGCCTGGGTCAGGGTTCAATGTGCTTGCTGGGAGGATAGTTAGATATTTAGAGATGTGGTAACTACAGTTAGCCCTTTGTGGATGCTGAATCCGTGGCTACAAGGTCTAGCTGCCCAATTCCATTTTATACATTTTTTATTAGGGGACTTGAATATATGTGGATTTTGGTATCCACAGGGTACTGGAACCAATCCCCTACCGATATATGGGAAACTGTAAATGGCTAGGGCTGATGTCTTGCATTAGTTCAGAGTTCCTGCAAGTTTCTGACTGGATCTTATCTTCCCACCTGGAGTGTGGGTCTCTGGAGGGGAACCACGATGCCTGGCAGATCACTGTCTTTATCCTCCGCAGTCCTAACTCCCGTGCTCCTCAGGTAAAGGCAGCTTGTTGAATGGACCGATGCATGCTGGCAGCTGCCGCAGCTGAGCTCACACTGAATTTATTGATGAAAAATCAAAGCTGTCCATGTCTGGTGCTCAGATACAACTGACGTACCTCTCATCTCCAGACTGTGATCTCAAATCGAATTCCCATGCCTCACAGGAGTGTGAGGTGTTAGGAAGTGCTCAGCCAACCCATGATGAACAGAAGGCGAAAAGAGATCAGGGCTCTGGAGGGAGGGACTCTGGGTGGAAAGCAGAGCAGCTCTGGCGGGGGTAAGAGGATGGGCGTCCCCCTGCTGGGGGAAATGGCCTTCTTGATGGTAGAGTCAAGTTCTCTGCCAGCCCCAGAGAATGTGATTAAAGATGCCTCTGGGGCTTTTATGACACTCTTATTGATCTGAGGTTGTTTATAGCCGTAAAACAGCTGTAAATTAGAGGAATGAAGTAAAAACAGCAGGATACTTAACTCCTGTCCTCCTAGGAGGTTGAGAAAGCTTTCTGCACAGCTCTGTGGCAGCAGGGAGCTGAATGTACATCCACAAGGGGGACTCTCATTCTCCTTCCCTCCCTAGCCCAAGCTGAGAGGTCGCTGCCTTCCTGTCTTCTCCCTGCTGAAAGCAAAACCTCAGCCTTACTGGGAAGTGTCCATGGCTAATGTGATTCCCAGCTGGGACCACTATCTAACTGTGCACCCCCACTTTGTGTGGGTGTCCCTGGTGACTCAGATGGCAAAGAATCTGCCTGCAATTCAGTAGACCCAGGTTTGATCCCTGAGTTGGAAGATCCCTCGGAGAAGGGAATGGCAACCCACTCCAGTATTCTTGCCTGGAGAATTCCATGGACAGAGGAGCCTGGCGGGCTACAGTCCATGGGGCCGCAAAGGGTCAGACACGACTGAGTGACTAACACAACGCTATGTTGTGTTAGCTGCTCAGAACTAGTTATCTCCTCCTTCCAAAGCTGTTTTTCTGTTTTTGGTGTGTTTTTTTTTAATCCCCTTCCCTCCCTCTCTTTTCCTCCCATTCTCTTTTCTCTCTTTTTTTTCTTCCTCTTTTGGCCACGTTTTTTTTTGGGGGGGGTGGCATTAAAGGGTTTTGACACATCACTCTTTGTAAAGTAATTAGGAGTTTTCTGCAGACAGTTGCCAATCATTTCAATGCAGTAGAGCAGTGGCCCCCAGTCTTTTTGACAACAGAAGACAGTTTTTCCATGGATGGTGGGGTGGGGGGCAGGTATGGTTCAGGTGGTAACATGAGGGATGTGGAGCAACAGATAAAACTTCACTTGCTAGCCCACCGCTCACGTCCAGTTGTGCAGCCCAGTTCCTACCAGGGGCTGGGGACCCCTGCAGTCAACCACGCTTTGTGACCATTGGACTTTCTCTGCTTTCCTGTTGTAGAGATCCGAGAGGCCTTCCGGGTTCTGGACCGAGATGGGAATGGCTTCATCTCCAAGCAGGAGCTGGGCATGGCCATGCGCTCTCTGGGGTACATGCCGAGCGAGGTGGAGCTGGCCATCATCATGCAGCGCCTGGACATGGACGGTAAGACTGGGGCCCACAGCATCCCCACCCCCCACCCCATCCCCTGGGATGAGCCAGGACTCATCAGAGATCTTGGGTTTGAAGGGCCTTTCAAAAGAGTCAAAAGACTTGGAGTCAAAAAACTTGGATTCATGTCCTGGCTTACATTTCAGGCAACTTGGACCAGGCAACTTGGAAACTTGAACCAGGTCTGGGTTTTTCAAACCACATTGCACAGACCTCCAGGGGTCTGCAGAGGTGGCTCTGGGGCCACTAGAGGGAGCTGGGGGGGCGGCGGGGGGAGAGGCCTGGCTGGTGGAGCAGTGAGAATGATTCTGTTTCATTTTCAAAACAGCTTTGTTGAGATAGCATCCACACACCCTAAGATTCACCTGTGCAACCTGTGTAATTCAGTGGCTTTGAGTGTATCACAGGTTTGTGCAGCCAATAGCATTATCAATTTTATAACATTTTCATCACCCTAAAAGAAACCCTGTACCTCTTATTTATCACCTGCATTCCCTCTGAAAGTGAAAATGTTAGTTGCTCAGTCGTGTCCAACTCTTGGTGACCCCATGGACTGTCGCCCACCAGGCTCCTCTGTCCATGGAATTCTCCAAGCTATCCCTCTATCCCCCACCAAGTCCTGGACAACCACTAATCAACTTTCTGTCTCTATGGGCTTAGCTCTTCTGGATCATGGGATACACGGTCCTTTGTGACTGACTTCCTTCACTTACCATAATATTTGAAAGGTTCATCCGTAGTGTAGCATGTATCACTATTTCTTTGCATTTTATTGCCAAATCACATTCCATTTTTTGGCTATAACAGCTTCTTTTCTCTCTGTTTTACATACTGGTTTCTACATACAGTCTCAATGGGGGAAAGTGTTTCACTATCCTTAAACAATTCTGGAAAACGACTGCATTTACTGATCCTTAAGATTCTTTCCTGCTCTAAAACCCTAGGAGTTTATCCCAAACTGGCTGTGACCTTCCTGCCTTGGCCAAAGGTCCAGAAAGAAGCTTTCTTATTTTAGTTTTTTTTTTTTTTTAATGCGGACCATGTTTAAAAAATCTTTATTGAATTTGTTATCATATTGCTTCTGTTTTATGTTTTGGGTTTTTGGTTACAAGTCATGTGGGATCTTAGCTCCCCAGCCAGAGATTGAACCTGCATCCCTTGCATTGGAAGGTGAAGTCTTAACAGCCGGACTGCCAGGAAAGTCCCCTAATTTGGTTTTTTCAACACACACCCTCCCCCTCTAGAAAGACCAAGTAAAAGAAAACAGAGGATGGGGGCAGGGGGTCTTTTGGGAGAGACAGATGAAGACCCTGGTAGGGGGAGGTTTGCTTGGCCTGCAGACTAGCTGAACACAGCTGTGTCCTGTTGTCTTGCCGGGCTTGTTAGAAAGATGATAATTTAATGGTGACTGTATGGTGACTGGACCCCAGTGCCAACCACCAAGGGCAGCTGTGGCATTTATCTTCTGGTTCAGGAAAGAGATGTTCTATCAGGGATGTTCAGTAGTACGTGGAGTGCTGGCCCTGTCCTTATGTCTCTGATTGATTGTGACTCGCTGGGTCTTTGCAGGCCTGATGCGACCTTGCTTTGTAGTTAGAGGTACTGGGTTGGCCAAAAAATTCTTTTGGGTTTTCTTCATCATCCTATGGGAAAACCCAGATGAACTTTTGGCTAACCCAATATTTCTGAAAAACTGGAGCAAAGCACATGTTGTATAGCAAAATCTCTTCCCTGGATTCCCATCATCATTTCAGAGAAACACTTCCAGAAAAAAAGAGTTTCTTCCTTAAAATAATAGAAATCTTAACCTACCCTCTTTGTAGAATTAAGAAGGTTTTTTTTTTTATGCCTTTGAGTCTCCTCTCATAGCGTAACAAAATAAAACATGGTCAAATGGACTAAAAGCAAATGGACTTAGCAACATTTAGTCAAAATGAGCTGGGGGCTATCATGGGAGAGTTACTTCCATGGAAGTTTTGTGGGTCTTCATCCAAGTACATCTTTGCTCCCTGTCTATTCACTCATTAGACCCCGGCTCATGGGGAATTTTTACATTATTGCAAATCCTCCTTGATTGCAGGAGGGCTTGGAGTCCCCTGGGGGCCTCGGGTGATGGTGCTGTTCCAGGAGCCCATTAGGACTCAAGCAGCCAACGGGATGAAGCTTAAGAGATGCCAGATTTCAGCCATTCATTTGCAACATCATCCTTAGTGACCAATGCCAAGGGCATGACTTCCAAGCAAAGCGTATAGAGAATTTCTATTAGTTCCTTTAACAGAAGCCTAAATCATCCGCTTTTTCATGGTGACCCCATCAGGTGAAAGCACAGTTATTTACTTTTCTTCATTTATTTAAATATATTAATTTTTGTTTTTTAAAAAATTTCTGCCATACAACAATGCAAATCAGCCATAATCATATATATCTGAAATGCAGCTTCCTCAAACTTTTATTTTGTTGCCTACAAAAGAATCAGTACACAACAAATGAAGACAATGCAGCAGTGCAGGCAAAAAGAATTGCCTTTTGCGATGTAATAAATGCTTAAGTATGAAAAGAGCTAAGGGAAAAATACCCAGGCTGAGGCTGAAACGTCTTTATGTGATTTGTCAGTGACACTGGTAAGTGAAATTTCTGGGTTCTGAGTTCTGCATATGCATGGATTGACTGTTTTTCAGTGTCCCTTTCTTAGTGGGGTCTTTTGAGCTATTCTGTTTTTTTTGGTTTTTTTTTTAAAGTCAGGTTCTAATTATATCCTTCCTCCCAGCTTCTGTAACTGGAGATTCTCTGCAGACGTTTGGCCCTACCTAATTAAGCTTCTCTTTGGTGTGAAACTTGTGGAACGGCAGAGATTTTTGTGAGGATAATGCCGCATGCGCGCACACGCACACACACTCACACAAAGGTTTTGGGCCAGAACTTAGGATTCTTCTCTGTAAGATGACCGTGCCTCCTGACAGACCCTGGTCCTGGGATCCAAGGGCATCAGGAGAGATGGCAGTGCCTCCGTGCATCCCAGCTGGCTGTGATTTGAGGCTGGTCTGGCCCACACACCGATCCATTCTCTCTGGGGTCCCTGCCGGTTTGTCTGCTGGTGAGGTCATACCTTCGGCACGAGGCCCAGATGGAATTAGACCAAGTCTGTACAACCTTAGTCTCTCCATGAGGCTTTCATTAGGTGGTTCCCGGGGAGTGGGGTGCTTTGCCGACTCTGTGTGTAGCAGTAATCTCCCTGGATTAGGGAGCTCGTTGGTTTCCTGGACACAGAGCCTGTGGGAGCCAGACAGTTCCAGTGTGTGTGTGTTGTGGGGAGCCGGTTTTCCAGAGGGCAGAATGGAAGGCAGGCAGTAGCAGTGTCTGGAATTGCTCTCCTGACCATAGCCTATTTGACTTAAGAGCTGGGACTGACCCTGTGTGTGTGTACACTGCATAGGCTGAACTGCCCCGAGTTAAATAAACAGAAAACCCAAATTCCTGCCCAGTTGCCTAGTGCTTCCTTTATGGCTGCAAAGGTTCTTTCAGCCTCTGCAGCTGAGGTGGCTTCTGACCTGACATCAGTTGGGGACTAGGACTCATGTTTCCCAGATGCTTTTGCCAGCCTCTCACCTTCAGCCCAGATTCGGGAAGTCTGAAGCTCTCTTCCTCAGCTTCCTAGAAACATTTAAGCTCAGTGACCTAAGGCAATCCTTGCATCGGGAAATCCATTTCTCTCCAGTGCATTGCAGTACCAGTTATGTACCGTCCTTAGAAATGATAAAATAGTCACCTTACAAAAGCGTCTCCAAAGCTTAAATCTTTTATAGAAGCAAGTTGAGAAAGTGACTGTGGGCTCTGCCATGCCCCTGCTGCTCTCATTAGCTCTGCGGTTCCCACAACAGTTCCTGGGGCCCCTCGGAGCCACCTGTACTGTCCTCTGGGGAAAAGGGGCTTGGTATCTTTAAGACCAAAGGGACATTTTTGACTCTTTTCTGCATCGTAATGGTTTCACCAACTACACCACTGTGGGCATCTGGAGTGAACCCAGCCAGCTTTGTAAGTAGTTTCCTGAAACCATCAAACCAGGAGATGCTTTCAGAAGCCCATGGTTTATGCCTGGGTCCCCGCTCATATTTCTTAATGCAATCTTCCTTTCCCAGCTGTCTCCACCTCTCCTGCACTCAAGGAACAAAACAAATGCAGCCCTTGCCCTCTGCATTCTTAATTTTCCTTCTGTGCCTCAAAGGTGCAGAATCTTATGAAATTCTAACAAATTTGGAGTTTTGAAATGAATTCTTATCCCTCAGCAGGTTTATAGGGTTTTTTGTGTTTGTTTTTCTTTTTTTTTTTTTAGGTTCACCACTGTCTGGATGGTGAGTATGATTCAGCTTTGTCCCATTTAGAAAAGATTTTTCTGGTGTCCATTATGTGTGAATTTGCTTAACTTTATAGTTGGCAAGATGCCTTTTTGCTTCATTTTGAGGCAAACCACTGAGCTGCAAAGAATGAAATTATGGCCAGAGTCACATGAAAGAGTTGGCAGGGTCCTCATTGTTAGCCTGTGTGTCTGTATCTTCCCTCTTTGCCTACCCATTCATTACATGTGTTGACACTTTGCTGATCAGTCATACGATTATGACTTTCCTATTTTCATTTGTGATCTTCTAGAAGACAGAAAAGTCTATGCTTAATTCCCAGTACAGCTCATTTCCACTTCACATTCAAACATGTCAGTATACTCATGTGGATGCTCTGGAACAGGCCTAGGTCTATTTTGTGATTTCAAATACAAGATTCCTTCCTTTCTTTTTTGTGTCTCTTGTTTTTCTTTCTTTCTTCTCTCTTTCTCTCTTTGTGTTGAAGTATAGTTGATTTGCAATGTTGCATTTAGTTTCAAGTGCACAGCAAAGTGATTCAGTTATACATTCACATACAGCTATTCCTTTTAAAATTCTTTTCCATTATAGGTTATAACAAGATATTGATATATTTTCCTGTGCTAAACAGTAAGACCTTGC